AAAAATATATAGAAAAAATTAGCCAGGCATGGTGGTGCATGCCTGTAGTCCCAGCTACTCGGGAGGCTGAGGCAGGAGGATCGCTTGAGCCCTGGAGCTGGAGGTTGCTGTGAGCTAGGCTGACGCCATGGCACTCTAGCCTGGGGCAACAGAGTGAGACTGTGTCTCAAAAAAAAAAGATACTATTTCACATCTAACATCCTGGCAACAATTAAAAATCTGCCAGTCCCAAGTATAACCAAATATTTAAAGAAATAGGAACTCTCATATGCTCCTATAAAAAATTAATATAATCACTATTTGGAGGGCTTAGTAATATCCAATAAAAGATTCATATACTATTACTCCCAGCAATTCCACTGAGAAATTCTTGAACATTTGCAAAGGAGACCCGAACAAAGATGTTTATTGACTGTGTATTATTGTTTGTAATAGCAAAAAAATAATAGAACCAATTGTCATTCTGAGGAAATAGATGAATAAACTTCTCTACCTCCTTAAATAGAGGGTCCCAGGCATAATTTAATGTCTCCTGAATGTCTGAAAGTCTATATAATAAAATATGATTATAAAGAATACCAGTCAGCAGCTAAATGAATAAATTAAATTTACTTGTACCAACATGGAATGGATGAAAGAGAAAGTTAAATGAGGGGGAAAAAAGCTGTAAAAGTATACATATGGTATAGACTAAATGTTTACATGCCCCCAAAATTCACATGTTGAAACCTAATCCCAAGGTGATGGTATCTGGAGGTAAGGCCTTTGGAAGGTGATTAGGTCATAAGGGTAGAGCCCTGATGAATGGGATCCACGCCTTTATAAAAGAGACTCAAGAAAGCTGCTTTGCCCTTTCTGCTGTGTGAGGGTCCAGGGAGAAGATAAGAAGACCGTATTTTATGAACCAGGAACCAGGTCTTCACCAGAAATGGAATCAGAACTGTGAGACATAAATGTCTGATGTTTATGAGCCACCCAGTTTATGGTATTTTGTTATAGTATCCCTAATGGACCAAGACAGGTATTATACCATTTTATGTAAGGATTTTAAACACAAGTACATATTCTGTGTATATAACATATAGGTTATAGACATGCAAATGCAATAAAAGTGCAAAACATTCAAGGGAATGGGAGACAATCACATCAGGAGAGCGCTGATATAGAGGGAGGGAGAGCAAAGTGTTGGAGGCTTTAGCTAAAATAAAAGAGATCTGAAGCAAACAGAAAACGGTTGGTTTCTGTTAATCTCAGTGGTAGTTACATAGGTGTCATATTTTTTTCTGTACATTTTTATTTTATAACTTTGCATAATTTAAACTGTGATGGAATTTTTAAGAACACAATTGAGGTTAAATACATAATGAATTTTTTAAACCCCTGAAGATTCTGGCTTAAATCCACAAAATGCTTTAATTTTAACCATAGATTATAGAACTCTTAATCTTTCTACAAGCTCCTCCACCTCAAATAGAGGATCGTAGACATAATTTAAACTTTTCCTATATGTCTAAAAGTCTATATAACTTGAATCGAGGAATTAAGGATTTTAAATGGGCCTTAAAAGTTAACTAAATCCAACAACCCTTTTGAAGTGTTAATTCCTGTTACAACATGACTTATAGATGGTAATCCAGACTCAAACTGG